TGTGTTCCTCGGCGGTTGAGCTGGCTACAAAGGGGTCGTCAATGTAGGCGTAAACGAAAGGTAGGCCATGGAGCACCCGACCAACGGACGTCTGGAAGCTCTAGGAGGCGTTACGGAGTCCAAACGATGTGCGCAGGAACTCAACGAGATTAAATGGGGTGGTGACGGCCGTCTCCGGAACATCCTCCGGGGTGATGGGAACCTTACGGAAGACCCGGACCAGGTCGATCTTCGAGAACACGGACTTGCCGAATAGGGCACCGGCAAAATCCTGAAGATGCGGCACAGGGTAGCGGTCCGAGTGGTGACGTTGTTCAGGGCCCGGTAGTAACCGTAGGGGCGCCAGTCACCAGCAGTGGCCTTGGGGACCGTGTGAAGGGGTGAGGACCATGGGCTGTCAGATTGACGGATAATGCCTGTTTGAGGCATGTAGTCAAACTCGGCCTTAGCGGCAGCGAGACTTATAGGCGCGAGACGGCGTAGCCTGGAGAACACTGGAAGGCCAATGGTCCGGATATGATGGACAATGTCGTGTGGCGTGGTAGATGCGCTGAAGTTTGGACGATTGACAGTAGGATACTGGGCGAGAAGTTTGCGAAATGGACTCTCAGGATCTGGGTCCAAGACAGCAAGTTTGTGAACACCTCAGATGAAGGGATACCTCGGCAGGGAGTTTGGTTGTCTAGTCATGCAAACTGGAGTGGCAGCAGTGCACCATGAGATTCAAGGCAACGAGGAAGTCTGCACCAAGAATGATGGAAGGCAAGTCAGCGACGTCAAACACCCAAGGAAGGAGTCGTTGGAGGCCAATGTCCAGTGAGAGAGAGAGAGCAGGTGCCAGGGGTCGCAGTTGCCAAAGTGTTGATGGCCTGAAGGAAAAAGCCGTAGTTGGGGCATCGAAGGTCGGTTGATAAAGGAGGAATGACACTCAGTTGAGCGCCAGTGTTAACTAAGAAACGCCTGCCATTCAGGACATCGCAGACCGGGAAAATAAACACCAGAAAGATTGGTGGCATTCACCTTTGCGTGGACTGGCTTGCCCGTTTGCTCTGCTTAGAGATGAATGAGCAGGGGAATGTGCAACGACGGGCTTTGATACCAAAGCTGGAGTGATACCAACATATGGTAGGTGAGTTGAGACGATATGAAGAAGCAGGCTGGACATTCCAGGTAGCTAGGCTCACTGGGCGTCGCGATGGAGAGGTTGATTGCTGTTGAAGAGTAACTAGCTGTTCGTTGATTTGCTCAATTTTAGCCTTCAGTTCTGAGAGAGGAGATACAGGAGGAAGTACAGGAGTTGGGAGCGCGGCAGGTGATGCTTTAACAAAGTCGTACCTCTCCATCAACTATTTGCCCATTAGAGTGAGAGAACCAACAGCAAGCGCTAGGATGCGCTGAACTTCTGGAGGAAAGGCGTCCATTATCAAAAGTTGACTTTATCGTAGATTTGGAAGAAAGGTGTGTTCGGAGTGAGTCGACAATTGTCACAAATGGTTGTTGGGTCGACAGCAAAAGGTTCCCCAAATCGCAAGTCTAGGAAGACGGAACAAATAGGAACAACAGTACTGAGCACAAGTAGGTTTACAATGGCCGCTTCAGGCACCGCGTACAATAGCCAGCAGCATAGGAGCAAAAGTGAGGATGTGTCAAGGTTGGGCTGTGGAATGAAGAAGAAGAAGAAGAATGCTTTATTGAGGATTTTACAAACCTAATTTTCAGAAAAAATGACTCCATTCACGGAGAGCAGATGATATGGTAAATAAAGGGTCGTTTTAAAAGGACAAAGGTAAAAGGTCATGTTAGGCTCACAAGTCAAGTTTTTTCACGACATTCACATCAATTATAAAGACAAATCTACTTTCAACTTCTCCATTTACGCTTCTTCACT